ACAGATAAAAAAACATTCATTCACATGGGCATACATGTTACATAAAGTTGCACTTTTGCATCAAACATTCATAATTACATACAACATAATAAATTTTGATTTCCCTCTAACGAGGATGCTATTAAAATTTCTCTTGGAATTTTGTATTATGTAATACTTTTCTCTCATCTCATGAAAAAAAATTCAAAAGTTCATTTTCAAAAAGTTGGATACATCATATGAATTGAGTCTAACACCCATAAAAATACTCAAGATAATTGCATTCATACATGTTCATTTTTTTCATAACTTTCAGAAAAATATGTGACAACCAGATCTCCTCAACATGAAGGAGTAACATCATTATCCTCAAGCAAAAACGACCATATTCTCTTCAACATGAACGAGCAGTGTCGCTTCCTACATTAAATTATCTCTAGGAAATTAGATTTCCTGAATAAAAAGGAACATTGTTCTCTTTAGATATAATTATTCAAATACATATAGACATCCTCAATATGAAGGAAAAAAGTCATCCATTGACTAGACCTCCTCAACGTGAAGAAGTAATGTCAACATCAAATTTGACATCGAGCAAATAACCCCAAAGACGACCAAATTCTTTTCAACATGAACCGGCAGTGTCGTTTCCAACATCATATTATCTCCAGGTAATCAGATTTCCTCAACAAGAATGAAAAGTGTTGTTTTCAGATGCAGTCATTGAAATGTGACTATACCTCCTCAATGTGAATGAGCAATGTCAGTACCAGATTTGACATCGAGTAAATCATCGCAAAGGCGGCCAGATTCTCTTCAACATGAACGAGCAGTGTTGTTTCCAACATCACATTTTCTCTAGACAATCATATTTCCTCAACAAGAAGAAACAATGTTGTCTTCAGATGCACATTTATTCACATGTGACTAGTTGTTCTCATCATTAAGGAGCAATGTTGTCAACAAAAAATGATTGTATCCTTTGAGATTGTTTTCCTTGAAACAAAATATTCACCTTATTCAACATGGTTTCCTTTGAAACGATAACAAAATTTGTTCATTTTAAGACAATTTTTATCTCGGTCGAGATAGTTTCTCTTGAAACTCAATCAAATTTTGTCTCACTAAAGACAGTTCTCAAAAGCAAAAATTTTATCTCACATGAGATAACTTCTTCTAAAGCTAATTTTGTCTCGCTCGAGACAATTTCCTTTTGGAACCCAAAACATTGACATTGTTTCTCTTGAAATAAATTTTGTCTTGCTTGAAATTTCTTTCTATTGAAAGTACAACTTGTGAAAAAATCCAACTTTTTGAGAACGTTTCTCTCGAAACATAATTTTGAAAATATCTCGTTTGAGATAAAAAAAGTTTTCTCTTAGTCTCGTGAGGCAGCACTGCATTGCCAAATAAAAGATAAAACCGAAAGAAAACTCGTTGTGTTTTTATTTTTGCCATATTCTTATTCACACAAGAATAGGCAAAGATAGGAAACTGTTGACACTCGTTTTCTTCTGGGTTTATTTTTTATTATTTTATTTTTTATTATTTTTTTTGAAAACCCAAGTTACATAAAACCGTAAGCCCACAACCTAACCTAAACCCTAGCTAACCTTAACCCTAACCCTAACCACCTGTTGCTGTTACCACTAAGCACGTCACCGGTAACCTTATCCAAACCATCATTGTGCCACTGTCATCACTGCAAAAAAAATCCAAACAAATCACATCGAGTCTAATAAAAAAATCATACTCAATGCAGAGAATCCGGAAAAAAAACTACTCATATCCCTATCACCTAGCCATGATCTACCCACTTAACCTTTACCAAAATCCATCACCATAAATAAAGGATATTCGAACAGAAGGAGGGGAATCGGGAAAGAGAGAAGAGAGCAGATAAAAAAAAGCGGGAAACCAAAGCCATCAGAATCGGTTCGAAAGAGAAATAAAAAGAGAAGGAATAAAAAAAACAAAAGAGATTCGAACACACCAAAAAAAGAGAGAGGGATTTGAAATATAAAAAAGGGATGCAAATAATAAAAAACAAACAAAAAGAGAGGAGGAGAATGAGAAGAGACTCACCCCTCCCGTCGTTCGCCAGGAAAGTTCAAACGTCGCCAGAGTTAGGGTAGCCGAGAGGTATTTTCTTTAGATCTAGGACCTTGGTTCTAGGTAAAAATAGTTTAGGATTTACGTTCAAGAGAGGAAAATGAACATTTTGGGTTAATTTTAAATTTTTCGACCACCGTTGATGGTGGCCGACGGAGGTTATCGATGCCGATGAGCGATCAATTGTCTTTGCCGGAAGGAAAGAAAAGGGGAGAGGTTTGTAAAGTTTGTTTTTGGGGTAAGATGGATGAGAGGTTGTAAATGGAGGCTTAGGCTAAAATTTTGCCTTGGTTTTCATTTATATATACTATTCAAAACTACGTCATTTTGGTGTTATGGTTTCTGAACCCTTGAACATGAGACAATCCCTTTGTTGGCCATCCGAGTTTTGTTTTGGTCACTTAAATATAAGTTTACATTTTTATGTTTCACACCTTTATTTTATCTGACTTACATGTTAATCACTGCATTATCATTGGCATGCATCGGTTAATTTTCTATTTCGATCTATTGATTTTTTAGATTGTTCCATCTTAGTCCTAAAATGCTAAAGGAATGCATGTTCACTTGTTTTCTAGACTATCCTTTTATTTTGTTTTCTTAATTTAGTTTAGTTTTTGATTAGGTTTTGGTTAGCATGATGTTTTGCTTGATTTTGGTTTTCACATTCTACATACATATCTTATGCATATATACGTTTCTTTGTTCTTTCCTTTTTTAGAATGCCTTTTATACATAAATAGTTTTTATGTACATTACATGTATTTTATGCCTATAATTATTAATTAAATTTCGGTTTGATTTTCTATAAATATTAAACATTTTTTTTATTTAAGGCCTAAATTTAGGGATAAATGTTTGTTCACCTACGTATGTATTTTGTGATTCAAATTTTGCAATAATTAATTTTAGCATATATTTATTATTAAATATATTATTTATGGTATATTCAATCGTCTTTATAAAGGTATAATTTTGTTTACATATATACCTATTTTTGTTTAAGATTACCTGCCTTATATTTGTGTGTATATATATCTTATCCTTTAAACTTAGTTTCATGTAAATATATTTTGGGTTTACCGTCTACTTGTTTATATGTTTCCTTGTATAATATATTAATAATATTTATATATACATATATATTTTTGTTATATATGAATATGTTTCTTACCTTTGTATAAATATTCATTTTTTTATTTTATTTTCATTTTATTATTGATTATTTATATTCTATAATATTTTATAAAAATAATATATATTTTTATTTTAAACAAGTTTACCTTTCTATGTATCTTTGTACGATAATTTTTTTTATGGGGAATGTCTCAAATGAAGAGATTTCCATGGGAAAATATCCAAAAACCTAGATTGCCTTTCCTTAAAGACGCACGAGTGAAAGATACCCATCAAATTTCAAATTCTAATAAATATAAATATTAAAGGTGTTTTTATTTTAATTATTTATGATTATTTTTCATGTTATATTAGATATTTCGTTCATTCTTTACATATCATTTATTATTGTTGCAGTCGTAAATCATGCATTTGTTTTGCTCATTTCCTAAAATAATCAAAGGCAATGTTGTCTTACATTATGAGCTAATGGAATTGCGTCTAATATGACTGTATTTCAATTTTCGTTAATCCACGTAGTAGGGGACACCCTTTTCAAATAAAATCGTGTTAAATCATTTTCATTGAGTCAAATATTTTAAAAAGTATATTCACTTATTCTTTAAAAAAATTCATAAAAGTAAAAGGATCATAATTTAAATTTTGAATTCAAATTTGTAAAATTCCACCATTTTAGACAACACATAATCGAGCGTATCGATTTTTGACGATGTGGGGTGCTTTTCCCCCACGCGTAACCAACTCCCTAAAATCTTGAAAACAAATCTTTAGTATACGCAGACCAATTTTTTTCTTTAAAAATATTTTTATTAAAATTGTTTTAAACACCATTTTTAGGTATTTAATCTATCTAACCTAAAGGTCGATGTCGACTCTAATTTAAATTAAATCAAATTTATAAAAAATATCAGTTTTTTAAAATAAAGTCATAATTATTTTAAATTCGATTATTTCGTTTTAAAAACGTTATGTCAGTTATATTAATGGAAAAAACGTAAAATACTTCAGTTAGCTTGCTAAGACCGACAGGGACTGCATGTGCAAGTGGTGCACAAACTGGACACACTGGCCTGCATCAAACCTGAACGACACTGACGGTGGTGGTGAATTTGAGTGCCATCAGTTGTACGTTTCAGATATTATGTTAACTAATCCTCTTGGCTCGCTGGCAAAACCATTATCCAATCGTCAACAACTACCCAACCCTGTTGTAAACAGTAAACCAATTACAACCCGATGTTCAGATCTTCACGTACGTAGAATTGAACTCTAATCGTAACAGAAATTAATAATAAACAATGGACCACATTGATTTCCATATATCTACTTCTGCTACTATTTCTTTCTGTTTCTTTTTCAAGTATCCTATATCTATTTAATTTATAAATCTGGACTACTTTATATTGTTGTCTACTTTATAATTTTATTACTATATCTAGAGTCTGATATTGTTGTCTACTTGTGTATTTTGATGTTGTAATTCTTGCGTGAATGTTTACAAGGGGGCATGCGAATTAGATTTTCCGGTGAGACAGGAAACCCCAAACCGAAAACCTCAATGGCATTGCGTAGCTTATTTCATTGGGCCTTTAAACTTAAGACAGAAAATCGTTGGGGGTTTGGTCAAAAACCACAATGTCTCGGTTGGGGCTAATGGTGGGCCTATTTAGCTACTTCTGTCTTCACTTGTAGACATCCTTTATTCCACATACTTTATTTAACATCATTTGGAAGCTAGATCTGTGCTTTAATTCATATCACCATTAAAAAAAATGGAAGCCCTCCTCTCTGAATTCAGTTTCCTCTCAGATCAAGCTTTAGAAGATAAGAAGTTCGATCCATCCACCATGGAAGACCTGATGAAGCTGTTTGATATTGAATCTTACAAGGCATGGGTTGCTATGGAGTTTGAGCAAGAAGAACAAGTGAAAGAAGCTAGAACAAGCATGCGGCAAGCTGAGGATTATATGGACTCAATCATGGAAGAGGCCATGGGTGAGTTTAGGCGGTTCGAGGAGGAGATGGAAGACATGTGTAAGGCTGAACTGAAGGGCCTGGAAGACACGGCTGAGAAGGCTAGGAAACTGGGAAACCTCTTGGAAAAGGCTGCCTCTGTTGCCTCCAAAAAGTACATTGAGGTTGCACTCAATTCTGCTTCTGCTACTGTGAAATCTGCTTGGAAAGGACTTTCCTCTAAAAAGGTTCATCCTTCATGAAAGCCTTTTGTATCTTACATATGAATCCAAAGACTCCTCCTGGGGTTTCTTTCATGTCACTGTATGTTTTGATAAAATCCATGAACTGGATCTGGATTTCTACGACTTGTGATAAACTGTGTTCCATAAATTAAGAAAACTGATAAGATGAAGCCCACAATTTCCTTATTTGTTTTTTTTTCCACTTGAATTAGCCTCATTTCACATATTATTCCTATTGGAAAAAGGGTTCGGATACAATAACAATGTTTGTTTCCATGTGCTTAATCTTGATACAGTTTCTTCAGTTCTCAGATTACATCTGTTGAAATGATTATATCCTCTTGAATGCCTTTCTATCACTAATTTTCTTGCTATTAATGAATTCATCAATCTGTTTTGGGTTTCTTTGCTTTTTACCAATTGAGAACCAATATGCAAAGAGTTGAATTAAGATAGATTTTGTATGCATTCTAATTGATAAATTAAGCTAAGGGCTCCCCCTGAACGGCAGAAACAGTGATTCTCCATTGAGGTCCAGTCCCATGTTTGATAAAGAGTCGATGAAACAGACTCCAATCAAATTTGAGGAAAACTCCACTTTTCCAACTCTTTGAATGCTTTAATTGTTCTTATTAAGGATACTCTGCAGGGGTTGCTTCCATTTCTCCCACAAATTTATTCATATTTTCCAATGCATATAGTTGTAATTTTGACAACTTTTTCTTTGTTTTAGAAAAACTAATTACAGAAACCCATACGCTTATGAGTTATAAGCTACCAAATCATCAAAGATATAATCTCACATTTTTTTTAGATGAAAATGGATTTGATATACATACAACATAACAAACATTGATCTCTACATCGTGTGTCATTCACTTGTATTCACCACTAATGATATGCATTGATATTCACAATTGATATTCACCACTATTTTTTGTGAATGTTTTAAAATCCTAAAGAACTCAAAGGGTAATTAACCCTTTTTGTGTTTTAGTTCTAAATGGTTTCATCTCCCACTTGTGTTCTTAAGATTTAATATATTATTGAATAGTAATTTTAGATTAAATTAATTTTAATATCCAAATCACGTTAAAAGTGGGATTTATTTATTTATTTTTAAGAACAAAAAGAACCGTTCATCTTCCCTACAACCGAAGAAGAAAAACTATTGTCGGCCGGTCAGAATGATTTCAGCAATCCTTATCGGGGGTGAATTTATTTTTCGAAACGGCTACTGTTATTGTCAACCCTAACTCCAATCGCTGTCGAAAAAACCAAAATTGAACGCATTTTAGAGATTCACACGTTTCTTCCGTCTTTCTAACCACTGTAAGTTATCTCTTTTTCCGTTGTTGCCGTTGTCGTAAGTCTTCCCTTTCTCATTTAGCTACAATACTTGACTATTAGTCGGAATCATTACCTACTAGTTTCTTTCTCATTTAGTTTTTTTATGTCATATTTGCTTTGGTTCAGATTTTTAAGTGGTTTGTTAGGCATGTTCGTTTCTTTGGTCTGAGGTTATTTTGCATGCGTAGTTCATGAATGTTTACATTTTATTGAACTTTATGAAGGCAATTGACAAGCAATGAATTATTCCTCCGTTTCCACCATTATTGTCAGTCCATCTTTTCCTTTCACCCATAGCTAACAACCCCATTCGGAAAATATAAACCTTTTTCTTTAATGAAAAATCTAGAAAACAAGTGGGTACTGTTTGATGGAAATTAAAATTCAAGGTATAAGTTGGGCTGTGATGGGGAAATGAGCTGAGAATAAGAGCAAGCAGAAGAAGAAGCACTTTTCATAAAATGTTCAGGTGCTTTCATTAGCTCTTCTTTTAAAGGATCAGAGAAAACAGAGCTGACACTGCCATTATACATATCTAAAATGGCTGCCATATCAAAAAAGAGTTTTAAAAATCAACTTGTTTCTTAACCAAAACAAAACAATATACAATAATTTGATTTAAAAAAAGCAATCTTGAGGGGGGAAAACAAACCCTCTTAGATGATGAAAATACATATTATAATTTTGTTAAAAAACAGAAGGAAACCTGGATCTCTATTCTGGATCACCCGACTTTGAAAAGAAGAACCTCGTAAGCTTTGTTCTAGAACCAGATTTTTCTTATATAAGCTTGAAAGACGGACGATGACAAAAACGAAATTATAGTGGGATTAAGAAGAAAGATGGAATGATCAAACACTATTGTAAAATCCTATTTTACGAACATTTTAGAAAACAAGAAAATGTTTAGATTTTATGAACTTTTTATAAATGATGAGTTATCTTTTTCTTACTTTGTTATTTAACCATAGGATTTGTTATTTAAAATCAAAGTAACTTGAATCTTATATTTTATGAATTTTTGAATCTCTTGATGGATCTCAATGTTATTCCTTTAAAATAAGTCAAAATGATAGAGTGTAAGCCACATTTGAACATGGATTCGGAAAATATTAATATCAAGGTACATTCACTATTATTATTAAAAAAGTTGGAAATGTTTCATGTTATATTATAATGTTGAATTTCTCAATGCAAGTAATTATTTTCGTTGTTAATTTATAATATTTTATCATATGTTTAAGTTATTAATTTATTACAAAAAATTTGTTCTATATGCTTTAAAAGAAGTTGTGTTGATCATCTTTATTTTATTTACATATAGGAAGAAGTTGAATTTCTACAAAAGCAGAAAAATTTAACAAGTCATAATAAAGGAATTCACAAGTTAGATATCATCATTAATTCAATACAATGTCTTGAAAAGACAGTAATGCCTTGAATTCATGTTAGGAGTTTCGGGTATATTCGATTTGGACCTTAGAATATCCTCATAGTCCATGAAGAGTTTGACCCAAGTAGCATTTGATTTGGGCTTGAGATAAGCTCAACAAGTATTAAAAAGGGTGTTTTTGATAAGGACCTAGATCTAAAGGGACTAGGGAGTAATTATCCCAATTTTTGAAACAGATGCTGAATTCCCATTAATTGGGATGATCTCACGTCTGTTGCCATCTCTTTTTTTTTCCCCACCATTGTTTGTCTATTCTTCCTCCATTTCCAAGCCCAGCAAAGTTAGAAACTTTAAGAAACTCAAGCATCCAATGTGAATTCTAAGGTACGATTCACAATCTACAACTTCTAAGCTTTCCTTCAAACCTATTTTTGCAAGATTTGGCTTAGTTACTCAAAAACTGGTTTAAGTGGGGGTTTACGAAACTTTGAGTTCAAGCTAGTTTTGTGGGATTTGAATGATAAGGAAATGTTTTTTAGTTTCTTTCTGAGGCTTAAAATGAGTTTGCAACTCATTAAACTTGTTTTGATTAGTGCAAGAGAAAGAGAACTCAAAACCTAGAGGAAAGGAAAAGCTAGTCCTTCGGTGATTTTCTAACACCCCTTTCTCATATTCGACTCTGAACATGAGTCAGAGATGTCATGAAACATTTACAGACAAACTACATTTGAAAACCGGTAAAATCGTGTTTCTTTAGTAACCATATAATTGAACATAAATAATTCAATTGCATAAACCAAAAAGTAATACTTAAAAATATTTTTCACATCTGATTTCAGGCAGCAACATGGCAGTTCAATATTGTTTTCTAAAAAAATATACTTCAACTACAACATATATCAAAATCCATATTAAAGAATACATACTATTTTTACACGTATACATGCCAACTAGGAATTTTAAACAATAGTATGATGTCATTATTGATACCAGTAAGAAGTCTTCATGATTGATTCTAAGCTCAGCTCCTTACTACATTTGCTTTCTTTGACCTAAGCGTGAAAATCATCACAAGCCAAGTATACACATAGTGAGACAATTTCATAACTATATAAAATAAATATGGCATATAAAAAACATGAAACATTAAAATAATCAAAGAACCGTAGATATCATATAAAATATATACGATAGGTACAACAAAATTTTTAAAGTCTTTCCATAAACACATAACTTGTAGATTACACATAGTCCAACATAGCCCAATGTATATCAACATCACTATACTAATAATCGGGATGGTAGTTCACATGTCAAAACATCATGAACACTGTAATTGCACACACACAGTGCCATGAGTACCCAAAAGTACTAATATAGGAGTGCATGTATGCACTTATACAGGAGTACATATAGGTACTAATATAAGAGTGCATGAATGCACTATTGCTGGAGTGAAACAAGGCACTAAAACATGAGTGCAACAAATGCACTAAACATGATCGATTGATAATAACTCAACTTCATGACATGCCAATTGCACCAAAGACTCTTAATGCACATACAATGGGCTTTTATATCATATTCATATACCATTAATTTTATCAGGAGTATACGTAGATACTAACATATCAAATATCATATAAACGTGCATTGGGCAATTCATACCCTAAGCCTTTCATTTCCACATAACATAAGTATATCATGGAAACATCATTTATAACTTTCCTTTTTGACATATGAACATCATAAATCCTCATATGATAAAATATCATAATTATCATTCCAAGATAATAGAATTGGCTCATTTCAAACATTTAAGGCAACATATAACATAAGAGTAACATAAAAAGCATAATTTATGACAAATTTCATATGTTGGCAGTTTGTGCTACCCTCAAAGAAATATTATTCTATATTAATCTACTAACTTAAAAATTATTTTTGTTTGTACCAATGGAAACTATACTTGAATAAAAATCTAACCATATAAGGAACTTCTTCTAGTACCATCTGTACAATTTATAGTGAAATTTCAAAGCTGACTTACATAAGTTATTTTGAGCATAATTCGCTTCCCTATTTTATGACCTATTATCAATTAAAAATTCATATATTTTTGTATACTCCTTGAAATTAGTAGCCATTTGTTTTAAACTAAACTAAACTGATATACAAATCGAAAAATATAAAAATCATCTTCTAATAACCTCTTTAAAATTTATATTGATTTTCTAAACTTATTGTTCAAGTCACGAGTATAGGCAGATTTCAC